ACACGAGTACTTTAGGAGCTGGCAGGTGTCATAGCCCAGCCATTGGCAAAGGTATTTGAAAACTTGTGGCACTCACGTGACGTACCCAAAGATGGGAAGAAGACCAATGTGGTGCCTATCTCCAAGATAGGGAGGGAAGTAGACCCAGGGAACTACAGGCCAATCAGCTTGACCTCAATCCCTGGAAAGATTGTAGAAAAAGCTATCGAAGAGACCATTCTTGACAAGCTGGGTGATGGCAACATCCTGAAGGACAGGTCTTGTTGAGGGTAGGTCTTGCCTGACCAATCTCATCTCCTTCTATGACCAGGTGACATATCACCTGGACAAGAGAGAAGAGATTGACGTCATATATCTGGACTTCAAAAAAGCCTTTGATCTGGTGTCCCACAATCTCCTCATGGAAAAATTAGCCAACTGCGGTCTCAGCTACATCACAGCCCAATGACTGGGGAATTGGCTCTGAGGTCAGAGCCAGAGAGTGGTAGTTGACAGAAGTGAATCGTCATGGAGCCCATGACCAGTGGTGTCCCCCAAGGCTCCATCCTTGGACCTGTACTCTTTAACGTCTTTATTAACAATGTGGACACTGGTGTCAGAAGTGGACTGGCCAAATTCACCAACAACACTAAACTTTGGGGTAGAGCGTCCACACCCGAGGATAGGCTGGTGATCCAGGCTGACCTGGATAGGTTTAGAAAGTGGGTGGATATAAACCTGATGATCTTCAATTTGAAAAAATGCAAGGTACTCTTCCTTGGAAAAAAAAACTTTGCAGCATGCTTATAGGCTCGGCAGTGCTATGCTCGCTAGCACCACGGCTGAAAGAGACTTGTGGGTCATAACTGACCACAAGACGAACATGAGTCACCAATGCGATGTTGTAGCTAGTAAAGCGAACTAAACTCGCTTGCATCCATAGATGCTTCTCAAGTAAATCTCAGGATGCCATCCTCCCACTGTACTCGGCCTTGGTGAGGCTGCAGCTGGAGTACTGCATCCAATTCTGGGTTCCACAATTCAAGAAGGATGTGGAGAAGCTTGAGAGAGTCTAGAGGAGAGCCACGTGCGTGATCAGAGGGCAAGAGAACAGGCCTTATGAAGAGAAGCTGAGAGCCATGGGACTCTTCAGCCTAGAAAAGCGCAGGGTCAGGGGGGACTTGGTGGCAGCCTGTAAATATATAAGGGGTGTGCATCAGGATCTGGGTGAACATCTGTTCACCAGAGCATCCTAAGAGATGACAAGATCCAATGGTCACAAACTCCTCCAAGAACATTTTAGGCTGGATATAAGGAAAAACTTCTCTACTGTTCAAGTCCCGCCAAGGCCTGGAATGCACTACCTCCCGGGGTTGTGCAAGCACCTACTCTGGACTCTTTCAAGAAACATTGGACACTTATCTTCCTGGGATCCTTTGACCCTAACTGACTTCCTGCTCTTGGGGCAGGGGGCTGGACCCTATGATCTTCTGAGGTCCCTTCCAGCCCTAATGTCTATGAATCTATTAACTTCAAAAAGTTTAAAAATAAAATTGAACTTTCTGACCACCTCCCCTTTTCTTTTCCTTCACTTGTCTCATCCACCTGCTCAGTTTTTGGCTTTCTATTTTTGGAGTGAAATTTCTCTGTCCTGATTTTTTTTTTCTGTCAATACTTGCTTTTCTTTTCATGGATGAGTGGAGCTTTATTGGCAGAAAAAGGGCATAGAGCCAGCTTTACCAAAAAGAGGCAATGGCAGCAAATGCTAGCAGCAAGATGTGCACACCAGATAAAGAACACTGCTTGCCCTTGGCATTGGCTTCACTCATTCGGTTTTGCCACTAGCCTGACCAAACTGCTTAGGCTTTTTGCAGAAGTTGTACATAAATCCTACGAAGTCCCTGTCTGGCCCAGCATTGGTTGATAGGTTATCTGTTGCCACCTTTCAGTTGAATGCTTTATTAAGATAGGTCCTCTCTTTCTTATGTCTTTATATTTTAAATCCTGAACCGAATTTAATGTTCAAAAAGAAGATGGTTCAGGGGAAGTCAAGAATACAAAGAATAAAAGAACTTTCAGACTATGTTTGTACTGCCCCTGATTAAAAGTATGATGCTGAAATGCCTGAAACAGTATATGAAAATGACTTTGAAAAAGCTTCTCTCAAAGAAAAAAAAAAAAGCAAGCTTTATTTTCAAGCCACCAGAAACAGCTGAACATTGTCAGCCTGCTGCATCCTGTACCCCCCTGGCATTTTCCAAAGCTTTCTAAGATAAAATAAGCATTCTGCAAATTTAAGACTAAAGACAGACAGGCCTGCCTGAAAACATTTTAGATAAGCTGAGAAAAGGAAGGATGTTTGACTTAGCTTTGTTAGTTTGTGTGTGCGGGTAATTAATACAAACTCCCAGTGGTATTCATGTAGATTATTATTATTGTTAAATATTTGGTTTATATTCCATCCCATCCAAAATTGGTCCAGGATGGCTCACAAAATTAGACAGCCCACAAGATAAGAAACATTGTTGATTTTTTGTGAGTTTGGGTTTGCTATAAGTATGTATGAAGAGAGCTGTTAGTATGCATGTGTGGTTATGTGTATATGCTAGTATACGTAGCCCTTTGAAGCTTCATACCTAGAAAAATAGCAACGATGGGGGGGAAGAGGGTGGCGAGGGGTTACCTCGTTCTAGGGGTTACCTGGTTGTAGATGGCTGGTAAAATAAGTTTCTTAAAAACTGGCTGTGGGGCTTGCGCCCCTCTGGCCGCCCGGCCTATTGGGGTGTGGTCCCTCCCCTCAACTCGCCTGCCACAACTTTGATGTTAAACATACTTTAAGAGGGGGTCTGCAGTGGAGATCTTTCCCAGGTGAGCCTCCCGATAGATGGCAGTACTTACGATAGTCCGACATGATGTTCCACAGGGCTCCTACTTCCCTACCCCCCATCCACTCGCCAACCAGTTTCTGGCCCTGTATGACGGCTGAGGACCTGTCTACCGGGTTCCAGTCGCTCTCTCTCCCCTCCTGGGGTAGTTTTTACTTCAAAGAAAATATTCCTCTGAGTAAGAAGGGGCTGCAGGGCTGCCTCCCTTATCCCAACCCCCTCTCAGGGTCTCAGATGCCTCCTCTTCCCTACCGTAAGCAGGGAGCTCCCCGGCCTCCTGTGTGTCAGCTTCTTCCGGTGGCTGTGTGGGTGCTCCTGCAGGAGGCTTAAAGCTTTTCCCTGTGCTGCCTGCTTGAGCCAAGCAGGCTGGGTTACCTCCTCCCCATGCCAGAGCCCGCCTCACGAGCTGCCAGCCCGTGCTCTCTCTCTCTCTGGCTCTCCCCCCGCCCCAGCTTCGGTGGGGCTTTTAAACTTTCCCACAGTGGTGGGTACGGCCGCTGGGATTGGCTCAGCTGTTCCCCGCATCGGAAACAGCCGATTAAACAGTTGGCGTAATGCCAGTTCGCACAGCTCCTGCTCCAGCTGCTCTGCAGGAGGTACATTAGCCTCTCTGGGGACTTGCTCTCGGGGTCTGGGGCCTGCAGGGTCTACTCTCTCCCCCTCAAGAGCCTGTGGGGGTTCCTCGCCGCCACACTGGCATAAAAAAAAAAAAAAGACCTGTTCTGGGGCAAATACCCAATAATCTAAGAACTGACAAATCCGAGTACTGTACCCACTAGGCATCTATGCAGATGATGGGTATTCTCATTTCAAATTCATTGTTTCAGACTTTCTTTGTAATGATTTGCCCTAAATAAATGCATGTTTTAAGGAAATAAACAGCTAAATTCAGCCAAGATGGTCACAGTAAATTACCAAGGGATTGCAAAATAAAATCCTGGTACAGAGGAGAGGGGAACATGGGTTCCCATCCCAAGAAAGATTCTGGCTAGAGGCGAGACCTACACAGTGGGTGTGACATGCAGTTCATTAAACCTTGATGGTCAGGAGCAAGACACCCTCACTAACAGCTTCTTCTGACAAAAGTTCAAAGCAACTATTTGTAATATGCCTGTAGCTCAAACACAATCATAAAGGAGCTGGGGACAAACCTTGCTAGAAAGCCAATAAACTCTTCTCCAGAAACTGATGTATGCCTGATATAGCTCCCAAGTAATAGCTCTTCTTTCTAAAAAGCTACAACAGTGGGATAGATTACAAGCATTTCTGCAGTTTCTGCTTCTACTCTGCCACATTATGTCTGTTTCTTCACATTCCCCATTAAAAAAAATTAGCTATGCCATAAATTATCTCCACTTTAGCTATTTAACTCTAACATCAATTAGCTAAGCACAGCATTTTGGTTTTGGAGTATTTGCATGAAATAAAAGAACTGACCAGAAAGACTAGCTTTGTCAACAAATGAAGCAAGACAGTTGGATTTCCAAGAGGGTGATAATCCCTGCTTAGCTTTCACTTTCAAAATAAGACAGACGTATTAAAAAAAATTTTTTTTAATCGAGTTTGTGGTACATATCATAGGAAAAAGATGGCTGTCTTTCACAACACACAGCAAACAGAGTGAGCCTGAGTGTAACCAAAACCAATCAAACAGCAAGTTCCCTAAGAAACCAATAATTTTTAATGCAGCAGAGAACAAGAAAATACATTTTAAAAACATCTTTCCCTCATTCAGAGAATGCAAAACATTTTCCCTTTCAGTCTCTGTGTTAGGGCAAAATGATCTAGCTAGAATGGGATTCAAAAATTTTCCCTCCCAGAGAAGGACCGAAGCATTGTCACCAACAACAAGACTACCATATTTACTCAAATACAAGATCCTCCCCCTCCCCCCCATAATTAGATTTTACATACAGAAAATGTGTAAGTTTATTATAATTTTCCATGTGTGGAATCTAATTATTGGAGGATCATCTTCAATTTCTCCCTCCCTACTACTACACGTGGTGGGGGAGAAGTGATGAGGGGGCAGTAGTGGGGCAGGTGGTAGGGAACAGACAGTGGGAG